AACAGACGCAGCCCTTGGGCCCTGGGATGCCTTTGGAACAGTGCTGATGCAGCAGAGCCCACTGTGGGCAGGGGATGGCACAGGCAGGGGCCCAGCCAGAAACCAGGGCTCCTCGGGAGCCCTTTTCCTCAGGTGGGGCAATGGACTTTCATCTTTTGAGGCCTGAAGGTACAACAGAAACTCCTGACACCTGAAGGTCGGTAGGTTAAGACACTCTAATGTGCAGCAATAAAATCTGCATAACTCTGCCCCATGAAGGCAGAGCAGTGTGGCAGCACTGGGATCCCAGGGGTAAAAGCTGCATGTTCCCACTGGAACACAAGCACACCTCCTCACTCTGCACCTCCTCACCCTTTGAGCCCTGGGGGTCAGGAAGGCCAGTGGGATCCTGGGGGCCATTGGGAAGAGCCTTCCCAGCAGATCAGCCCTGGGGAGGCACATCTGCAGTGCTGTGTCCAGTTCTGGGCTCCTCGGGACAGGAGGGACATGGAGCTCCTGGAGCAGGTCCAGAGGAGGCTGCGGAGATGCCGAAGGGATGGAGCATCTCCCTTATGAGGAAAGGCCAAGGGAGCTGGGGCTGTTCAGCCTTGAGAAGAGACACTGAGAGGGGACCTCCCCAATGTCTGTCAGTGCCTGCAGAGGGGGGGGCAGAGGATGGACCAGGCTCTGCTCGGGGGTGCCCAGAAATGGGACAAAAGGAATGGGCAGGAACCGATGCCCAGGAAGTTCCACCTGGACAGGAGGAAGAACTTTGCTGTGCAGTGACCCAGCCCTGAACAGGCTGCCCAGAGCGGGTGTGGAGTCTCCTCTCTGGGGATATTCCAGACCCCTCTGGACACACTCTGTGCCACGTGCTCTGGGCTGGCCCTGCTGGAGCAGGGAGGTGGGACCAGTGACCCGCTGTGGTCCCTTCCAGCCTGACCCAGTCTGGGATTCAGTGAGGGCCCTTTTAAGCCCTCCAAACCCTGAGCTAGAGTTGTGCTTAATAAAAGCACCAGTCCAGGTGATCACTCAGGCAGCAGCAAACACAATGAGCTCTGCTTTAGGGTCATACCTGCTCACACAAAATAGCTGCTATCCTAGATGGGAGTAATTAGTGTTCCTCGGGATGGGGAGTCCACAACATCCTGTTCCAGAATAAGGTTACAAGCCAAGACAGCACAACCACATGACACCACCTGAATTTATTACCCTTTTAATACTAAATTATAACAAACAGCACTGGCTCCTGAGCTTGGACTTTGCAGGCTGTGTTTCTGCTGTGAAGACTCTGCTAAATGTAAAGACTTGTTCTCCTAATGAGACAGAAAGAAGATAAACACTCAATAGATATTTTAATCCTGTATCCATGCCTCTCAGTAGCACTTCTTCTTTTCCTGTGACAGAAAACTTAAGCTACATATGAGAGAAAAAGAAAAAACCCACAAACTTTCTGGCAGAATAAAACCACTTAAAGAGAAGACATTTCTAACATGACACAGAACGAATGGGCAGAAGTCTGTAAGAGAAGAAAAAAAGCTTCTTTTCCCTCACAATTCTCTGTCCAAACAGCGTTTCAAACATTAAAAGCCTGCCCACATAGCAGAACAAAATGATCAGAAAAGTTTTAAAAGTGCTGCAGTACATCGCTGCCTGAGTTTGAAGATGACTCACCTATTAGAAGAGAGTCCCCTGAATGGGATTCCATAATTGGTTTTGACAGGGGAGGTTTTGATCTGTGGGAAGAAGGAAGAAGCATCTCAGAGCAGCTAAGCCTGTTTAACAGTGTGCTTACATCTTTTTTTTTTCACATATATATATATATATCTATGTGTGTGTGTGTGTCTGTGATAAAAGCAGCCAAGAGAATATCTCTGCCCTCTACTGGAAATGAAAACCTTTGCAAGTTTGTGAAAGTTGCAGTTGACTTTTATACCCAGTTACTCTTAATTTTTGAGGTAATCTTTCAAGAAAAATCCAGATACTCTGGATGTATCCTCAATAAGCCTTAATGGATTCATCCAAACAGAACATTTCCATACAGCACCAGCTGTCCTACCTCTCTACCTGAGCAGGCAAGTCTGGGAATTTACTGCTGTCTTCAACAGTAAGAAAAGACTTAATCACCTCCAATCATCCTGAGACTTTCCCTCAGACTTACTTGATATTATGTATTTCCCACAGGCCTCAGACTTACTTGATATTATGTATTTTTCTTGCAACGATCATTGGAAAATCCACTTCAAAATATTTTCTAGGGAGAAGATTTTCATCCTGGGAATTGGAGGAAGACACTAGAATTAGGGAGGCTCAGGTTTCACATACACACAAGGAGATATAACCTCAAGTCCTGAACAGTTCTGGCATTTCTAACAATGGTATAACGATGTCCTACAGCTTAAAACAACCTAAAACCCAACAAAAAACAGTTCACAGACATTACAATGTTCTCTAGGCATTAAGGAAATTATTTAACATTTTATGTAATCACAGAATCCCAGAATAGTCGGGGTTGGAAGGGACCTCTGGAGATTATCCAGTCCAACCTCCCTGGGGACTGGATGATATTCAAGGTCCCTTCCCACCTAAACCAGTCTGGGATTCTGGGATTTACATATATAAACTCACATTTATACAGTTCATTCAGAAACATGTACCCAGAGCTGTACAATCCTGTGCTTTGGTACATTGTTCCTGTTTTGTTACAGGATAAAACAGCGAAATCTAAAGGTTGAAAGAGGACAGCAACTCCTGCTGCTCCTGGAAGCCCACTAGAGGTCAGCTGGGTGTCACACACTGCTGGGGAAGAGCCAGGGCAAAGCACAGCCCCTCCTGAGCTCTGAGGTTTAAAGGCACCTGAACTGCCTCTAAACAAGCAGAGAACTGAGGCAGAGCAGGCAGGACACTGGGGTCCTGGGGGCATGGGAAGAGTGTGGCCAACGGGTGAGGGAGTGATCCTGCCCCTCTGCTCGGCCCCAGGGAGGCACATCTGGAGTGCTGTGCCCACATCTGGGCTCCAACAAAGACAAGGAGCTCCTGGAGAGGGTCCACCCACAAAGCTGTGAGGGGTCTGGAGCATTTCTCTGCTGAGGGGAGACTGCAGGAGCTGTGCCTGGTTAGTGTGGAGAAGGGAAGGCTGAGAGGGGATCCCATCAATCCATACAAACATCTCCAGGGGTGCCAGAGGATGGTGCCAGACTCTGCTCAGTGGTGCCAGTGACAGCACGAGGAGCAATGGCCATAAACTAAAACACAAGTTCCACCTCAGCACGAGGAAGAGTTTCTTTCCCTGGAGGGTGGCAGAGCCTGGAACAGCTGCCCAGGGGGGTCGTGGAGTCTCCCTCTCCGGAGACATTCCAACCCCACCTGGACAGTCCCTGTGTCACCTGCTCCAGGTGACCCTGCCTGGGCAGGGGTTGGACTGGGTGGTCTCCAGAGGTCCCTTCCAACCCCAGCTATTCTGGGATTCTGTGACAGCCTGTGCTGCCTCCCTGCCCACCTCCCCATGTGACAGAACTCAGCACTGCCAGGCACAGAAGGGCAGCTCAAACCCCCCCATGGATCTCAGTGCTCAGCCTGTCACCTCAGCTCTCCTCACCTTCAGCCTCCAGAACAGGGTGTCCATGCCAGCCCCAAGGTTAACAATTTGACAGTTGCATTCTGTCTTCTTTAGAAAAGCTTTAATCAGATAACTGACTCCGTGAACACGAGCATAATAACCTGTTAACACACACAAAAGCTTCAGTGTAATTATTATTTTTATGTAATACTTAGTGTTAAACACTCATGAAGAATTTCAGGTAGCCTGTTTGAAAAGTGGTGTTTCTTAGGAAGAGTAATATCCTCTTTTTAAGATACCTAAGGGCTTTTGTTTTTCTTTTTTAATTTCTAACAAAATCTGATGCACTGATAAAACAGAATTCATTGGGCACATAGATGTTTTAGTCAAGTTTCACCTCAGAGCAAAATAATTCTGGCTGGTGTCCACACTTGCAGAGACCAGAGCTGACACACCCAGCTGTCCTGGGTCAAAGAAACATTTCTGACTGCTTTGAGGAGATTTCTGCACTCTGAGACACACAGTCACATCCCATTTAGAGCACAGAAAGCAAAGGATGAGAGCATTGATTTACAAAATAATATTTAAAAGATCAGCTACAATAAGGAATTATTTCTGTGAAGAAAACTTGTCTCACTCTTTCCTGTATTCCCTGCCCCCCTAACACCCAGTGCACAGGGGCTTTGTCAGCCTCAAGACCAGTTCAGAGTCTCTGTCCCCATTCCAACTTGCCTCTGTTGATCTCAGGTGCTTTCCTTTCCTTGGCTTGTCTCACAAAATACTGGATGTAAGGGTCCTTCCAGTAGCCAACACTGACAGCAAACCTGTCCAGGAGTGGGGAAAAGAAAGAAAGGATCAGGAAATAAGGCCACCGAGGGTACATCTTGGTGTACCCTAAAAGCCTGTGTACCCCAAAAGATACAGAGACTGGTAAGGTCCCTCTGCCCTGGGTGTGCACGTGCAGACACAGACTAAAAATCTGTTCCATATGTGGAACCATTTCAATTAAGAGATTATATAAAGTTTAGTTAGAAAATCCGGCTGTTGTCATACTAAAGAAGCAACTTTTTAATGAGCTCTGTGCTATTGGGTAAAATACTGTGGGCAAAGACCCGAATCTCAGCTGTTTCCTCCTGGAGGACCCAGCAGGGGAATTGCATCTCCAGGTCCTCAGACACACACAAATCAGGCTTTACTTCCACCCCTTGTTATGCCACGAGCTGTTTGCACTTATTCCAGAGCTTAAACACGGCATTTAACACAGACAAGTGTTATTCTGTTTTAACAGAACTCACTGGTTTTACAACCGATTCAGAAAGGAAAACTCTCAAGCCAAACTCAATCACCCAGCAACCTCCTGCTGCAAACTCCAAGAGCGACAACACAAGTTAAATTCGCGCCCAGGCACAAGAGGGCAACGAACTCATCCCCTCCCCGCGCCCGTCCTACAGCGGGTGAAGAAAAGAGACCTGAAATACATGGAGACAGTTTTTCCCAGAGATATCCAACATCACCGGAGTTTCTGACCCCGCTGTCAGGCGCTGGCTCCCCCCGCACGCTGCTTCATCACCGAGCTCGGAGCCGACCCCGCACAGGGCTCACACACACGACCAGGGGTTTGCGGCCCCACGGGCGTGCTCGGGGCACACGCAGCCCTCACACGGGGAGTTCACCCCCGCACCCCGCGGCCCCAGCTCTGCTCTCCCGGGGCACCCGCACCGCACGGGGCTGTTCCCGCTCCCCTCCAGCGCCGCTTCCCGGGAGCCGCCCGTGCTTCGCTCCCCGACCCAGCAGCGCCCCGGCGCGGCGCGGGGGACAGAGCGGAGATGCCCGTCCCGCCCGCCCCCCCCGGGGCCGGTACCGTTTGCAGACAGACGCGTCCTCGCAGGTGCCGCGAACCGCCTCGTCCGCCTCGTCGGGGCCGCCGGCGGCCGCCATGGAGCGCGCGGGGCCCGGCCGCTGCCACCGCCCCTGCGGCCCGCCCCCCGCCGCCGCTCATTGGGCCGCCTCCGCCGGGGCTCGGCGGCGATTGGTCCGCGGGCTCGTCCGTCCCCACAACGCCCAATGAGAGCGCGCGGGCCGCAGCGCCCCGCCCGGGAAGCGGCGGGGTAACCGCAAGGCACGCCGGGAGCTGTAGTCCCGGGGACGCTCGGCGGTACCACCGCGGCCGCGGAGCTGAGAGCGTCCCGGGACGGGCACCCCGAGCAGCGAGCCCGGCCCGGCCGCCCCGCAGAGAGCAGCAGCGCCCGAGGCTCCCGAGAGAGCGCCGGAAGCACCGCCGTGGCGGAAAGGAGCTGCCACATCCGGTCCGCGGGCGGGACATCCGGTCCGCGGGCGGGACATCCGGTCCGCGGGCGGGGCCGGTGA